TCTATCTATCTATCTATCTATCTATCTATCTATCTATCTATCTATCTATCTATCTATCTATCATCTACCTATCTATATATCTAACTGTATGTCTATCTATATTTATCATCTGTCTGTCTGTCATTTCTGCAGATGCATTGGGGTCTCCAAATCTCCATTGCTTAGGTGCACCTAAAGTCTAGAGAGAATTTTGAGACCTTTCTTTTGGCCAGGTAATAACTCAAGGTAGGTTTGATCAAAATCTTAATGAAAGAATCAGGGTGGAGGTTTCCACAGTGACTTTCAACTAGTAATGGATCAAAGACTTTTTCAGCAAGTACAAGCAGTCTCCTCTCCTCTTCTTCCCAAATGAAAATATGATAAAAATCATGCCTTGGTCATCTCCTCCCCTTGCCCTGGGCTAAGCATCTATCAAGATTCCTTATCCCTGTATCTGGAGGAATTCATTGTTTGTTCTCACTGCCCCTTACAAGGCTGGGTGAATGTTTATCTCTAATTTACAGATAAGTATCTCAAAAATGAGAGATCAAAATTGCATTCAGCATTTTTCTTCCTTTCCTAATTGTGATCTAGCGATTCTCAGGATAGCAATCTGACAAAGAATTATGTTAAATGTTAGCTGGGATTATGAGTGATTGCACAACACAGGTAAAAGCAGAAAGACTCAGCAATAAAAGATTATTACTAGATCTACATTAAAAAAAAAACAACTGATGTGATGCCACCCATGATATCATCCTCAAGCTTGCCTGAGGCGCTTCTAACTAGTACAAGTTCAACAATGTTCTCCTGGTTATGGGGAACAATGGATCAACATGGTACAGATGCTTCCTCCTGAATTTCACCATAACTACTTGCCCCTCCCAACCTGTGTGAACAAGGTGGCCCCTTTTCACAGTTGAATGGACATCCGCTCTCAGTTCCCCCTACCATTTTCCATGTGGTTCCTCTCAATGAAATTCCTGCTAAGGTCTGCTTTGCAGATTTTCTCAACGTGCCTCATGCATACATTCAGGAGGTCATCTCTGAGTATCCCCATTGCTGGACTCATGTTCTCTCCTTCAAGCAAGATGCTATATGTTGGCAGAGATGGAGGGATAACATAGCTTCTCATCATGGCTCCAAATTCCTGGGAAGAGAAAAGGGAGGAAAAGAGAGGAGAGAGAAAGGAGGGGGAGGGAAGAGGGAGGAGGGGAAGGAGAGAGGGAGAAGAAAAAGGAGAAGGAGGAGAGGTGGTGTTGATGATGGAGAGGAGGAGAAGGAGAAGGAGACATTTCCAATGTCAAGCTATATTGCAAAAACATAAGAGGCTGCCAATTTCAACACATACTTAATGGGATAGGTTTGCCTGAAATGCAAGCCAAATTAAATTCTCCCTTGGCTAATTAACGTTATTAAAGCTATCCCGGGTGGATCCTGCCCTACTGCCAGGCAGAGTAAACATGCATCCCCATTAATATGTATCAACAATTTTAATGGTAGGAGGGCAACATTGCTACCAGGTAAAAAAAAACCAGACACATTGACATGGAAATAGAAGCTTTTCTTAGTCTAAGGCAGGGGTCAGCAACCCATGGCTCTGGAGCCGCATGTGGCTCTTTCATCCCTCTGCTGTGGCTCCCTGTTGNGAGCTGGAACCGGTTCTAAATGGCACGGTAGATTTGTGGAACCTCTTCTATAGAAGAGGTCAGAACTGGCAGGAACCCACCCCTGGTGTGTATAGCCCCAGACTAGAGACTTCACTATTATAAAATTCACAGGAAATAATAGTAATAAGAGATCTGGATTAATTCTACTTTGGTTAGATCTCATTCCATGGAAAGAGGTATGTCCTGGGCACCACACCTTAAGAAGCATGTAGAAAACTGGAACAGGTTTGTCAAAGACCAACAATGACATCCCACCAAAAAGATTAAAGGATATGGGAAACATAAAGAGAAGTATGAGTAGAGGGGAGATCAAACACCAAAAGAAGCAAAAGATTCAAATTTAATCTTCATTGTTCTGGGGTGAATCATTTGGAAAAATGGATTTCAGCTAAAGGGCAGCAAATTCTTACTTGGGGTGGGGAAAGCCTATCAAAAAAGTTATGGACCACAAAACCAGTTATATCCTGTTCCTACATGGGGAAAAGCCAACATGGCACAAATTAAAAAGTGATTGGTAGCATCTCTGCATGATGTCACTCGGGATCCATCACCTCTAGGGTGAAAGAGGAGACAAAGGAGTGAAGAAGTGGGCGTTTCCAACCAAGAGAAAATAACCCATGCCAGGTTCCGTGGAGCTTCAGCACTGAGTCAAAGAGACCTTGATGGAGCTGATGAGCAGAAAGCAGCATGTAGGAGATGACCAGGATAAACCCAAAGGAGGGGTCAAGCAATCAGTCATGAGTACCTTCGCTCCCACAAGAGATCTGAAACTCCATCCCACCCTGAATTCCATGGATTTATCTACCGCCAATTTGCTTGGACTGTTAGTAGTTCAGATTCTTGTAGAGAGTTTACGCTTGCAATCAATCTTCATACTCATTTGAACTGCCTGGATTGTCTGATTTCCCTGGCACTTGACGCAGCATCATGAAATCCCCAAAGGACCATGTGGACGTAGGATGGGTGCCCAACCAACATGGGCCAAGGCTCAGTTGCCATGGACGATCTGATTGGTATCAAGCAAACTCGAAATGGGAAGCCAAGGGAAACCATGAGCTGAGGATAAGGATGTTCGTCCCTCGTGTTCGAAGAGGACCTCATCAACTAACGGGTTGTGGGCTGTCCACGGTGTGTCCGCAGGTAGTTGGTAAGGCCTATGTTCTGCCACATGTCAGGACACCACATACACTGCAGTGGTGGGTTGCAAATCCCGTTCCAACCGGTACAGTTGGAATGGGGCCGGCAGCGTCCTCATGGACCCGTGCAGTGTGTGCATGGATTCAAGTGCCTCCATGATGCTCCAGCTGCTCCGCGGAGTGTCTCGCAGGTGCTGTATGCACCATGTGCCATGTACATGCACAGAAGCGCAAAAGCCTTTAAACTCCAGTAAGGAGCTCGGCCGGGCAGGTGGGCCCTCTGGAGCACCATACCGGGATGGTATCCAATACTCCGGGCTGGCTCTGGTACATGTGTACTGGGGCATACCCCCTGCAACCCACCCCTGATACACTCCTATCTCAGGGGTGAAATTCAGCAGGTTCTGGAGAACCGGTAGCAAAAATTTTGACTGGGGCGGGAATGGAGATTTTGCAGCATCCTTCCCCTGTCACACCCACAGAACCAGTAGTAAAAATAATATGAATCCCACCACCGCCCTAACGACCACGAAAAGACCGAAGAGCAGTGGTGGGATTCAAATAAATTAACAACCGGTTCTCTGCCCTAATGATTTCTTCCAACAACCAGTTCACCAAACTCCTCAGAACATTAACAACCGGTTCTCCCGGAGTGGTGCGAACCGGCTAAATCCCACCACTGCCGAAGAAGAAGGACATTGGGGATGCCACACTCACCTTGATACGGTCTCTCTCCTTGTGCCACTTGTCCACTTCATCGTCAAGCTCCACGATCTTCAGCTGCAGCTGCTCTTTTTGCAAAGACAGTTCGGTCTACAGGAGAAAGGAGAGAAGGAGAGGGATGAAACCACACAGCCCCAGTTAACTCTCTTATCTTTGGCCCCGAATCACAAGTGCCTCCAGCTATCGCTACTTGGCAGGTTCTGAGTTGGACTTGGAAACCACCCACGTTCCGATCATTCTCTGGTGGAGCCCAAAGCTCTGAGCTCCCCGAGCAAAGCTGTGAAGAATAAAGAGGCTTAGAAGCCATCAGATCTATATTTTTTTATTAATCGCTTGGGAAGAAATGGGAGGGGGAGGAATGGACTTGTTCATCAAGAGGGGCAACGAGAAGTAGTAGATTTCAAAACCCCAGTTGGGCTTGAACCAAAGAACTGTGCCTAGGGTGCGCCTTTACAACTCAAATGCTTTCTTCGTGTAATTACGGGTGATGTCACCTTAATGTTGCAATTGATCGGGAGATGCCTTTGGTAGGAACATGGTTGCAACAATGCTTGGGGATTTGGGCCTGGCGTGGGTTCAAGAGAAGGCAGAGGAGGGAAAGGGAGGCTGTTGTTGAGCTTGACCTCAATCCATTCATGCTCTTGCCCCTTCCCCGTTTTAAGGTGCGATGGGTTCCTTGGCAAGTCCATGAACCAAGTGACAGTTTCCTAACACACGAAGGACCTTAGAAGAGAATATTTATGGCTCAGGGGTTGTTGAACTGTGGAGTCCTGGGTGCTCTCTGAGCTGGATTGTTTGTTTACAGACATTTCATGACCCAACTAGGGAACGTCATCAGTGCCAGAAGGGAATGGGGTGAGAAGGGAGGAGGAGAAGGAGAAACGAGAAGGAAAAAAAATGCTTTAAAAAGCTAAAAAAATAATTTCTGATGAACGAATGGTTCACAGAGCCGCGCAATCATCGGAAACTTTTTTTTAACTACCGGTTCGCGGAACCAATGGCAATCATCCCTACTGGTTTGTGCGAACCAATGCAAACCGGTAGCATTTCACCCCTGGATGTATACCCTGTTAACACTCAGTCCCATGTCAGTTCTATGTAGCATATTTTTGGAGTATAAGATGCACCTTTTTCCCTCAAAAAAGAGGCTGAAAATCTGGGTGCATCTTATACACTGAATACAGAATTTTTGGCCTCCTGAAACCCCACCCCTCTTTGCAAAAATGGCCACGCAGAGCCTTTAGGAGGTTTCCAGAGTGCTCCTGAGGGCTGGGGAGGGCAAAAATGATAGAAAAACAGGACTTTTTTGCTCATTTTGACCCCCTAGTCCCCAGGAGCACTCTAGAAGCCTCGTAAAAGCTATGTGTGCCCTTTTTTTTGACAAAAATGGACCCGTTTTTGTGAAAAATGGGCCATTTTTGGGAGATCTGCAGAGTGCAAAAACTTTTTTTTTATTTGCCTCTTCAAAACCTTGATGCGTCTTACAGTATACTCTGTTGCGTCTTATACTCCGAAAATTACGGTATTCACTTCCAAATGAACCCCTGGATTCACTGACAAGCCAACACGTTGCACCAACAAAGTTGATACAGTCCAGCATCCATTTAGAGCAGTGGTGGGTTGCTAATCCCGTTCCAACCGGTTTGGTTGGAACGGGGCCAGCGGCGTCCTCGTGCGTGCAATTCATGCATGCGTCTTAGTGCCTGCACGATGCTCCAGCTGCTTGCGGAGAATTGCGCAGGCGCTGTATGTGCCATCCAGCTGCTTGCGGAGAATTGCGCAGGCGCTGTATGTGCCAACTACAGCTGCTTGCGGAGAATCACGGAGGTGCTGTATGTGCCATGTGCCTGCGTGGAAGCGCAGAAGCCTTCAAAGACCGGTAAGGAGCGCAGGCGGGCAGATGGGCCCTTCACCGTTCCCGGAAGTTACGTACTTCTGGGTTCGCCGACCAACTGGTTTGCGGGGACCGCCGCGAACCGGTTGAAACCCACCCCTGATTTAGAGACACCTGTAGTTGGTTCCTGAGGAGCTCAAATTGAATATCTGAAGGCCAACGATCGGCTTTGTTCATGATGTACAGAAATGCACTTTGTATAAAGGAGGAGGTGCCATTTCGTATGCGATAGCTAGTTAATTCATTAGCGCTCGGGCTTCACTTACGGCATTCACCTCCTCCATGCAAATCAGGCCTTCCAGCCTCAGGTAACATCCCAACTTTTGCTGAAGGAATGGATCAGGTTTTGCTTCAGCTGCACAGGTCCCCGAGGCTGCACCTGACCGCCCCCCAGGAACCACTCCAAAAGTTGCTTCATTGTAATTTTTAATTTGGCAGGAGAGGAAAAAGAGATGAAAGGCACGGAGGGTAATCATGTGAACTGTATGAAATTAACATAATTTAATTTGCATGGAAATTAAATTACAGGCCGTTTAATGCTGGGCCTTGACCGAGCTCCTGCTGGTAGCACCTTGTTTTCATAGTCTCCACCCATCCCTCTTCAGGTGGCCCAAGGCCCTTCAAAAGTTGGATCAGCTCAGGATGGGGACCTTTCCAGACTTCAGATCTCCAAGCCAAGCACCATCTCTCTTCTATCTTGGATCAGACGATGCCTTGGCAGGAGCATAAAAGGCAATATTTGAAAGCTTCTCCCTTAAGATAGGGATGGGATGGGTTGGAAAAAAAAACGTTTCTCACTCATTTGGACGACTTGCAAAATTTGGCCTGCCTGAAGCAACCCTGACACCATTAATGAGAGTGCCTTTTCTCACATTTCTTGTCTGTTTGCAAAAATATATATATCAAAATGCTTTTGTTGAGAGCTGGTGTATAGACTAATAGCTACTGTGTTTCCCTGAAAATAAGATAGAGTCTTGTTTTCTTTCAACCCCCGAAATAAGCACTTGGCCTTATTTTTGGGGAGGTCTTATTATTTTTGAGATGCAGGAGGCAGTTGAGGAATATAGCAATAGCAGTAATAGCAATAGCAGTAGACTTATATACCACTTCATAGGGCTTTCAGCCCTCTCTAAGCGGTTTACAGAGAGTCAGCATATTGCCCNTATTTTCATTATGAGGCTGCCAGCAGGCCTTCTACCTGCTTCGAAAAATAACTACTTCTTGACAGCAGGAATGCATAAGTAGAATTAGCCAGAGAGGTGAAAATATCCACCAGGCAAGTTTTATTAAGCGGGACGCATGAACATAAGCAATTTAGTTTGCAATTAAAATTCATGAAGAAAATAAGAAACCAGTTGCTAAACATCAAGAAGGAGAGAATGGCACCCTCAGCGCCAGATGCCATCAGGGTTCTCCGTGATAACCAAAAACTTAGTAGAAGTTGATCATCTCAGGCTCTGATATTCTTCTTCAGGTATTGTCTTTTCAGACCTTCAAAATTAACCCTCATCTATTTTATTTCCGCAATATAATTGCAAGCTCTCATGCTGTTTCTATTTAAATCAACGAGGAAGGGCCGGAGACAGAGGAGCAGGGTTGAAAATATAGCTTCATGTTCACCACAAAGACCTGGTACGACTCATCTTGTGGGACAGCAGAGACACTGAAGAGCATCCTTTTCACCTCCTCTATCTCCACTGCCCTGACCTCATGAGTGACATAGACACATTCATCTTTTCCTGAAAATAATACCTAGGATTAGCTGGGGTGACCTTCCCTGCTTCTTCATCAAGATATCCTTCAGCCAAATTAGACTGGCTTCAAGGAATCAGCTTTCACTGCATTACTTTCTTTGATCCTGGCTTGGCCAGAATCAGGCCCTGCAAGGGGAAATGTAGAAGAGAAAGCACCTGTTATCCTGAGATGGAAAAGCTTGAAAAAATGTACTCACAGAGGGAAGAGACCAAAGTCTTTTCACATCATCTTTCTCGCTGCCGAAAAATCAAACTCTCGCAACAATCCGCCAACGCCCGAAGTAACACATCAGCCCTCCGTGGATTTAGGCAGTGCTTTAAATAAAGCCAATAGCAATAGCAGACTTATATACCACTTTACAATGCTTTACAGCCTTCTCTAGGTGGTTCACACAGTTAGCATATTGCCCTCAACAATTTTGGGTCCTTATTTTACCAACCTCAGAAGGATGGAAGGCTGAGTCAACCCTGAGCTGGTGAGAATTGAACTTCTGGCATTTGGAAGAATTAGACTGCAATNTTCTATTCTATTCATAATTCATATTCCATTCCATATTCTATTCATAATTCATATTCTATTCTGTTCTGTTCTGTTCTGTTCCGTTCTGTTCCATTCCGTTCCGTTCTGTTCTATTCATAATTCATATTCCATTCCATTCCATATTCTATTCTATTCATAATTCATATTCCATTCCATATTCTATTCATAATTCATATTCTATTCCATTCCATTCCATTCCATTCTATTCTATTCTATTCTATTCTATTCAGTGTTCCTTTAACTGAGTGGAGCTGAAAGCTTTTTAAAACTCAAAGGAGGTTATACGCTCAACAAGAATGGAAAACAGGCAAAAAGAAACCAACAAATGTTTCAAATGTAAGTTGGGTTGGTACAGTAACATGACACTTTTTTAAATGCTTCCTCTGCCATCCACGAGACTCCAAAATCCGTGTAATCCTGCCAGATTCAAGCAAATTGGAGTAATTTGCCTCTCCTAATCCTTAAAGCATCCATCACTGACGACAAGACGGAAAAGGAAAAAGTCTGGTGGAATTGCAAACACTTATGGGTTTTTCACAAGTGGGTCAATGGGTTCACGGGTCGTACTACAAACCAGTTTCTTTAACTGTGGTTTACTAAATAAATCGCCAGCAAACCGAATCTGAGGCCAAGTCAACCGAAGCCTAGAGAAATGGGTTCTTTAAAGCCAGGGGTCTCCAAATTTGGCAACTTTTAAGACTTGTGGACTTCAATTCTGGGAGTTGAAGTCCACAAGTCTTTAAGTTGCCAAGGTTGGAGATTTATTTATTTAGTTTGTCGAACATGTACGAGATAACAGGTATAAGTATAAACATGGGCATGAACACAGGAAATGAGTACAAATAAACAAGGACAGTGGGACAGAGACGATAGCTACACTGGTGCACTTATGCACAGCCCCTTACAGACCTCTTAGGAATGGGGTGAGGTCAACAGTAGACAGTTTAAGATTGAAGCTATGGGGATTTGAGGATGTAACAACGGAGTCNTAACAGTGAGAACAAGCAACCAGTGGAATGACTTGGATCTGGTGCTCCATCACTGGAGGCATTGAAGAAGAGACTGGACATCCACTTGTCTCAAAACATAGAGTCTCCTGTTTGAGCAAGAGGTTGGGCTAGAAGACCTCCAAGGTCCCTTCCAACTCTGCTATTCGATTTGTTTCAGTTCAGTGTTGTTATTATGATGAATGGTTAAAGGATGTTTAGGTTGTTTAGCCTGATGAAAAGAAGGACTAGGGGAGACATGATGGCAGTCTTCCAATATTTGAGGGGCTGCCACAAAGAAGAGGGGGGATCAAACTATTCTCCAAAGCATCTGAAGGTGAGACAAGAAGCAACGGATGGAAACTAATCAAGGAGAGGAGCAACCTAGGACTAAGGAGGAATTTCCTGACAGTTAGGACACATCAACCAGTGGAACAACTTGCCTCCAGAAGTTATGGAAACTTTTAAAAAGAGATGGGGCAACTTACTTGTCTGAAATGGTGTAGGGTCTCCTGCTTGAGCAGGGGGTTGGACTAGGAGACCTCCAAGGTCCCTTCCCACTCTGTTATTCTGTTAAATCATTGACATGGTGTTCTGACTAAGTTAGAAGGTTGAATAGTTCTTAAAAATAGCTCCAACAAAAACCTGTTGGTAACTTAAAACACCCCAAAGTCCTTCTCCCCCAATTCCCCAAAATAGAGGAAATCCTGGTCCCGCTAGAAACTGAGTCTCTCCATGTCAGAACTAGGCAACCAGCTGGGTTGGGCAAAGCTTGATTCAAGCTGAATGTTCAGGGTGGTGTGTGAACCCAGCATCTTGGATTAATTCAGCAAATTGAGGTTCAATTAACCATGAGTAATAGGCTGGGCGAAGCTAGATGTGAGTGAGATATTTACATTGTAGGTCTAGCCAGCGTGATCAACACCTTCCCCTCCCTGGTGTGTGCCCCACAGCCACATAAGATTGTCCACCACAGGTAGAGAGCCCTGGCTTGTTTAGATGTGCATGACTAAACCACGTAGGTGTACCTACTAGCAGTACATGTAGGGGCAGGAGGGGAAATCTGAAACTTCTCCGTCAAATGAAATTTGGCCAGATTTGTACTACAATTTCTTTGCTATTTAAAGAAACGGGTGTGTTCTTAAGGATTTGTCATATTTTAGCAGTATTTTTTAAAGGAGGAGGAGGAGGAAGAGGAGGAGGAGGAGGAGGAGGAGGGGGGGGAAGAGAGAAAGAGGAGGAGGAAGAGTTTTTAAAACTTCCATTAGCTGCCTTCCATTGAGGATCTGGACACTGCACGAGTCAAAAAGAGGACTGGGAAAATATCTAGAGACCCCTCACATCCTGGACATAAATTGTTTCAACTCCTACCCTCAAAATGACACTATAGGGCACTGCACACAAGAAAAACAAGATACAAGGACAGTTTTTTCTCAACGCCATCACTCTGCTAAACAAATAATTCCCTCAACACTGTCAAATTATTTACTAAGACTGTATTACTATCATTCTTCTCATCCTTCCTAGTACCTATCTCTTCCCACTTATGATTGCTGCTTGCATCTTCAAAATTTATATTGTTTCATTTGTTTCTATTATTTGATTACTAATAAGCAATCAAATTATAGTATAATTTGATTGCTTATTTAGTAACCTCTGACTATCACTAAGTATTGTATCTTATGATTTTTGATGATTGTATTCTATTTTATTTTTCTTTATGTACACCGAGAGTATATGCATCAAAGACAAATTCTTTCGGTGTCCACTCACACAATAAAGGCCAATAAAGAATTCTATTCTATTCTATTCTATTCTATTCTATTCTATTCTATTCTATTCTATTCTATTCTATTCT